TATAGGTCCAGCTTGTACATTGTTTTGCTGAAGTCTTTGATGGCTATTGAATGTTTGTTCCTCTGCACTATCTATTGCAGAGAGTGGTGTATTAAAATATTCTACTCCAATGGTGGCTTTTGTAATTCTCCTTTCATTTGGTCCATTTTTGTTTGCTATATTTTGAAGGCTGTGTTATTAAGTGCATACCATTTTAGAGTTGCTATAGTTTTTTTCATGAATTGAAACTTTGAAAAATTATCTGTAACCTCTTTAAGTGTGAGAATGTGCATTCCACTAAAATCTGTTTTATCAGACTTTTATGTAGCTATATCATATTGTTTTCCTTTTATTTCTCAATGTTACTGTATCATTATTTTTTAAATGTCTTTAAAAGCATCATAGAGGTGATTTTAAAATCATGACTTTTAATATACTTCCCATGTTGAAATAAAATTAGGCATCCAGAGAGGTTGTAAAAATAGGACAGTGTGTTCCTGTATATCTTTCCCTGAGCTACCCTAGGGTTAACATTTTAGGTAACCATAGTATAATTATTGAAACCCAGAAATTATCATTGATAAAATACTATTAACTAGTTGACAGACCTCATTCAAATTTCACATTTTCTCTTGTCCTTTATGTGGGCTAGGATTCAATTCAGATTCTTACATTGCATGAATCTTGATATTTATAAAATCCACACTAATAATACTTACCACTGATGGAAGCATTTAGTCCATTTATAAGTAATGTAAGTGTAATAAGTTTGGATTTCATGTAGTCATGTTATTTTATGTTTTCCATTTGTCTTATTTTTTTCTTTCTTTGAATTGAACTTATCAGCTGATTTAAACTTACTACAAATTTACAGTGATCAAAACATTATGTTACTGGCTTAAGAACAGACATATAAATTAATGGAATAGAATTGGGATTCCAGAAGTAAGCCCTCACATATATACTCAATTGAGTTCTGAGAAGGGTGCCAGGAGAATTCAGTGGGGAAGAAAATAATCTTTTCCTCAAATGGTACTGGGACAACTGTATATCCACATACAATAGAAAACAGTTGGACCCTTACCTTACACCATATACAAAAATTAATTCAAAATGGACCAAAGACCTAAATGTAAGACCAAAAACTATAAAACTGCTAAATAAAAAATAGGAGAGGGGCCAGCCCTGTGGCTGAGTGGTTAAAGTTTCACACACTCTGCTTCAGTGGCCCAGGTTCACTGGTTTGGATCCCGGGTG